CGGTTAAAAGCAGTGATTGAAGCAATTTTATCGAGACTGAAAAGTAGAGTCGGTAGATAAAGTGGAGTTGGAGGCGAACCGGAAGGCGAAGACCTCTGAGCTCTCGTGAGGTTCACAAACCAGAAAGCTAAAGGAAGCGTCAATAAGAGAAAAGGGGGGGGGCAGAAATTGCTAAAAACTGCTTTGGTAAAGGGTCAGAATGTTCAACGGAGGACGAATACATGCGCTCTTTTGTTGACTGAAGTGTTTATACCCCTCTACACGATGAGCGAGCGCTCGATTCTGGTTTGCACGAACTGGTTTCAAGACGTTGGGTTGGATGAAACGTGCTAAAGAAGGAATACTGGGTTTTTCAAATGTGCGCCATGTCTGCATTTGTGAACAAATAATTTAGGGGATCGCGATTTGCTGAGTTTGGAGAAATATGAAATCAAAACATTTTTTGAAGAATAACATCAATGAAATTTGGAAAAGGGAGGAAAATAGCGGATAAACAGATAAAACAGACCGTGCTAGATACGGAAATCCACTACCTCTCCCCACAGATGGGTGGTCGTGGCGCAGTGGTTTAGTTGCTATCACAGGTGCTTTGGATGCAATGGTCCGAGGTTCGAGCCCCGCCACTGCCACCTAACTTTGGTAGTAGGCAGCCCGGCTGCCGACCGGTTCAATAGCACAACTAACCTATTAGGGCCTTCTGTGGTTCGCCACTCCAAGTGCTGAGGATTAGGTTATCTATTTCCATCAATGAACAGCAAATCCTCATGATTATGGGGTTTACCTTGTCTGCTGTTCATCACACGAAAGTGTGTAATAAAAACAAGTGGGTAAAGACTTTCGCCAAGAAGCAACATCATCCTTCGTTAACATAACTAACCCAAATTATTTGTCAATGAGGAGCTGGTTGACGAGTGTTTTTGTGGCTACCCATAATAAGAACCAATATCCCAGTTTTTGGTGCACATCTTTGGCATCGTCTGGCTCAGCATCGCATCCTCTTACACCGACCACTCCTAGAACTCCCAGGGGTTTGGTGGCCGGGATTTAGAACGGAACTGTAGGTGATCGTAACCAAAGTGAGGAATTCATCACTTTTATTGTTCAGCACACGATGCGAAGTAACGAAAACAAAAATGGAAACGTTTAGATTTGAGTTCATTCCCCTAGACTTATTTCATCCAAATTAGCGCGAACACCACCAGGTATTCGATCACAAACGACATCACAAGACTACTCATGAATGAATGAATGAATGAACGACAGAGCAAAGTGTTCAACTGTGATTGCATAGCTCATATTCACTACTCTCAGACTACGTGTATCATGTGATGAGTCGATGTGATTGGAACGACAGAACGACTCATTTACCGTTTCTAACATTGTTCATATTTGGACATTAACAAAATGTAAGATATGATGCACGTGGATTGTCGTTATGTTTCCAGAAAACTTGTTTAGAGTACGGTGGCAAAGCGTGGTTGTTAACGCTGTGCCTTAGATGTGTCATTGTCCAGCAACTGGTGAGGAGGCTACGTGAATCATACTATAGATAACGTGTTCAGGGCTGTTGTAGATGCATCGTAGCAACTGAGCTTTAGCACAGCGTCGCAAATGACCATGCGCTTATTACATCAATAAAGGTATATTCAATTAACCGTTACAGCCAACACCATTACACAAGAAGACAAGCTGTATTAAGTGTATCGGAATGATGCGATATGAGAATTCTGGTACCCAAGCCGGAACAATCCCAAATAGACTGATTTTTTAGACTAGGGACAAGAACATCCAAAAACGAAAACATTGATAAGGAGAGAGAGACAAAAGCGAGCAAAAATGATGATTGATGTAGTCTGTTAAAGGAACAGATAATTTTTGCGTTTCATTTTGCTGTTTCCACGTATTCTTTCCTGATCTTCTCAGAGTAACCCTGATATATATATATATATATCCTTATGTAAGCTAATATGCTTACATTTCAGTTAAAAATGTACACTGTTTATCACACAGTTTCATATAGCACGCGAAGTAAAGAATCTCGCTGAAGTTTGTTTGATGCACAAAACTTCAGAGATAATTCACTTGCGACCTGTTCCTTTTTGGTTAGGAGTTGGGCCAGGTAGGGTACAAGGGAATTCTTATAAATGTTATTACGAGCGGATAGATGCGGAAAATAGGAGCGTATGGATGGATAGGAACGACAAGATGGTAGATCGAGATGGAATGGATTAATAGTGCGATAACAGCGACCATAGAGCTTATCCAGTTGACAAATGTATGCTAATGAATCTGATGACCACCACTCATGTATCTTCTCCCAGTTGGGATAAAAGATGTGTGTGTCTGTGTGAGCGAGACAGAGAGAGTATGATTCACAAGAACAAAAAAGCAACTTATAACAGTATCGAAGAAAACCAAAAAGTGATAAACAAAACCCAGGCCCGATGAGGTAGTTTGGTCGCGCATGTATTCTCTGTCATTGCATTTTATGTCGTCTTAAAGGTAAGTGCTGCCCCCACGGAAAGGATATACTTTCAAACCAGTCCCTATTGAATTCTGATTTGGACAATCAAATTTTTCCCGTGAATTAGGCTTTCAAAATGGAACGCAGGGAAAGATCTCAGCATAAGTGCACTTAGATCGAGTAGAAAATTTTCATAAATCCCTTCGATATTTAACGCATCCCTAGACCATGCGCCATCATATATGGCAGCATTCGTGGATATCTTGATTGCAGGTTGGTACGCAGCAAGACAACCAATTGAAATTGGGAAAGCGGTTTGTTAATGCAGCTCAATCCCTGCCAACCGAAGAAGGTGACTAAACAAAGTTTGTGATTTGTACCAGTTCCTTGTGCGGCACAGCGTCGAATGCAAGTCAACTGATGCACACAAGCACACACTATATGTGTTTACATCAACGGTATGTATGTGTCCAATAGCCAGAAACCATTGACCTCAGATACCGGACGATGAATGGAGTAAACACGATGCGCATCACGGACGCGACAATGGTAAGAAACGGCATACCACAGATATTCGACACCAAGTTGCACAACAAAATTCGCTTACACTTGGGTAGGGGAAACGGGCGTGGACTGTAGCTCTGTCAAACAACTGCCAAACCAGAGGATTATGCTGGTCAAATGCTGTGTAAGAAAATACTTCAAACAGGATCGACTCTCGAATTTAGCTTGTTGTGAAATAAACGTTAACTGTCAATAATAAAATTTTAATAAACTCAAAGGCACCGGCTGGCGGGTTTAGCTTGGACAGAATCGCACAATCGTAATTGTGGTTACCTGCGAAAGTTTCATCAATGCGTTGGAAATGAAGACTGATCGGAATGGGCCTTTCGGGCGCCGTTGTTAAGCATGACTGGTGTTTTCTTCTCTTTTAGCTACGTCCTTTATATTGAGTACACAATAGAATAAACACACTTTCAGAGAGGGGAGTGGTTAATCAAAGGGCGGCTATGAGATTTAAAGACAAGATCGTCGCATTTCACTCGGTAGTTCCAAAAAGGCTTGTACGTCTCCGGGGATCCGATTATGAGCCTATGGTATGGTCGGGGTGGGTGTCTTGGGTTGTGGCTAGTCCTTCATCTCCTGCAGCTCACGAAATGCTCCCATACGACCAAGCGTCTCAAATAGCTTCTTCTAAGGAAGCCCTACTCATAACCCTCTCGTGCCGGAGGCATTTTCCCACCAAAATGACAGGACAAAAAGCCAACATCCAGGGCTCTAACCGAGTCAGTGAGCCACTGGTAGTTTACCTAGGGGAGGTGACTAAAAACCCACACACATCACGTTGTTAAGGTCGTTATATCACCGCGGAGATCGCGTGTTTCAAACCTCATACTCATGATTAATCAAAAGGTTATAAGGATAAAGTACGAAATTATCATGGTGGAAAGACAAACAAATAGATATGTGAATTCTTGGTGATATCCCCTCGATTGTTCTTCGAAGTAATCGCAAGAATTCATGGCAAACATGTGGAGTTAGGCAAAATCAGACCTAACCTCTAGAAGAAAAATGCTAAGTGATCCATGACGAGAGAGACTAGATGAAGACCTCAAATAAATCCACTACCAAGTTCTTGAAAAAATCTAAGTTGTTCCGTTTCAGTCGATTTGTATCAGACAAAATAGCATAAAACCACGATGGCTTGTGATGTCCAGCACTCTTGATTTTTCGCAATCTGACTAGTAGGGATTCCGAACAATCCACTTCCAGTTATGCACATGTCAGTTTCATGTAAGAGGACCAGAACACGGACACGCGAATGCACAGAGAGATTCGGGATTGAACGGAACCCAATCATGCAAAAAATTGCAACTAAGCCGCAAGTTATTCCAAAATATAAACCAATAAAAAACCGTAATAAGAATAATATCGCCTATCACATACCTTGATCATAAATATGAAATCATATGTTACGTGCTTTTAATTAGCCCATCCAAACAAAAGATATCGAAACTATTCATAAATAAAAACTCTTCAAGCAGGAACTAACACATTACCTCTTTTAATCTGATCAGATAACGGCTAAAGAAATCGATTTCAACTATTTTATTCAATTAGAAAAAGTTAAGGTATTTCATAATCTCCGTTTTATATTGAAGGAAACCAAACATTGAAAATAATGAACAATTTCGTTCATGAAATATAGACAAACCTGAAAGAAATCCGTCTGAAATACAACGATCACGAGTAATGCGGGAATCATGAGACCGGAATTGTAGTAGAGTAGCTCGAGACTGGAAAACCCCTGATCTCTTAGCAACGATTTGGTCAGCAAGGCTTTGGCTGCTGTGCTGAAATTGTTCGTGAAGACATACGTGTAGCCCAACAAATCGAACGCGAGATCCCCGCTGGAACGAGAAGAGATTTAGGGGTTTTTAACGATGATACGTAGGGTGGGAAGGAAAGAAAATGGAGATTATTTTAGAGTATCAAGTTTGGATTAGCCGATTCGATTGTCCAGAGGCACCAGGCACTCTTGATGGAGATTAGATAGAAGTTGATCGTGTATACTGTGCTTCATTCATTTTCACACCGGTTAATTGTACCAGAATGAAATTATTTACCAGTTTCCTATTTTGATTATTAATTCAGAGTTTTCAGTGAAATCGTGCCACAGTTTGTAAATGAAACAAGATAACCTATTAGACTACTGATCACCATATATAATCATTTTTTCAGTTCGTCACTANCCCCCCCCCCCCCCCCACCCCCCCAACAACGCACCGCACCATCCAAATGTGATGTTTTGATCTCCAATTTTTTGACAAAACGTTATCAGGAGTGAATGAATTTGTTGACGAAACGGATAAAAAGCCATATGTAAAACCTGAGAACCAGAACAAGCTGGCCTATACCATAACTCGTATTTGGTTGATAGCACACACTGTGTCGATTAATCAAAGAACAAATGGTGTCCGAGATTCATTCGAACACACTGCATAAATGCGCATAGGAATATAAAAAAATCCGCCGATATTGCATATGAATGGATTTTCCTTTCATGCAAAACTGACCGTCACTATCTACATTACACGCCGTAGTATGATCAATTGTAGAATGGTTGAGAACCGCGGATCACTTATGTGGACCGGGAAACAAAACGTTGTACCTTGTGAGCCAGTGTATGACAGTATTACCTTAAACCAATCGGAACACCATGCCTCCCAAAGAGTTCGAAATATGATGGTCTCTAGGTGGAAGGCCATTGACCACCCAATGGGATTGCAACTATCAATTCCGAATTCGGTGCGCATGTGTTTATTTTGACCACTATATATGCGGTTTCGCCTATCCGCCAAGCTTAGAAATTTGTTCGCAAACGTTTTATCATCAGTCGCGGTGAAATCTTCATTGCTTAAGGAGATGTGAAAATTTCACCTCGGCTGGTGACAAAACGTTCGCAATCGGTTTGGCAATATTAGCGAACAGGTGAAAATTAAATTCAGTTACGAGTTATGAGAACCGATTGCCAATAGACAGTTAACCGTATATCGTCAAAAAACGTGTTCAACTGCTGTTTGGATTCTTCCAAAAATACCCGTACTTCATCGGTTTGTGATACGTCTCTGGAAAATAGTGGGAAATGGTAAATGTTTGGATTGTGGTTTGGAAAGTATTCGGAAGTGAAACGGAGCCCAATTTCCTACCATCTTTTGTCACGCAACTACAAAAATTAGGAGAAACAATCCATTATAACTAATTCTTGGCCACCAAGCATCAGAGCCTGCATGTTGAAGTAATCTGTCAGTACTGTAACATCAGAAATACGACTCAATCGGGTGAGCTCGGTGAGTTTATCGTAAAATTCGTCATTTTGCGAAGTGGGGCTGCACTTGGTTGGTGCATACACCTATATGATAAATAAACACCTTTTGGTGTTGATGCCCCTCCGAACATTACCTAATTCCTGGAGCCACTTTTCGCAAAAATGACTGTTGATGGGTATCTAATCTAACAGTGAGGCTTCAGCTTTATCGCCTAGCATGATTCCTACACCTCGCTTACCCAATGAGCGGGCTTCATCGTCTCCTGATGTGCGAAGGAAATACTTTGAGTACAGACTCGGCACACTCAGGTGGCTTATACTACTAGGATCCTGAATTCGTATCTTCGTTACACAACAGATATCGAGTTCCAAGGAGTCCACTGTACGCGCAAGACACGCTTTTGGACTCGCTTGTATCAGAGTCCTTACGTTGAAGACCCCCAGAGTTTGGTGAGGCTTCAGAATCTGCACTTTATTTACAGGAAAACTACTTACACAGATATTTGGCAATGATCTTCGGCGAGTGGCTTACAAGTTAGCCGACGGGATGCTACGGATCGGAAAAAGCGATAAAAATAAAGAGTTGGGTATAGAAGACAAGAAGTTGAACAAAAATTTGGATGTCTGAGCAGTAACCCACTTATCCCTACCCACAGCAGGATGCAATGGGCAGCGCGGTCCTGATTATCCTGCGCGACTACAGCTGCTGTAAGAAATTACTTTTAGTTTGTGTTCATTGGAGCTTCATGGATGGGTACTGCCAAGGGTCCGCCCACTAAACAGGAGAACGATTAGAGTTCTCAACCAGAGCCTTTAACTTTGACAACCTAACCGCAAGGCGGAGTGGAGACTAGTTAACTTGGATCAATTACTCCTCCAACACGTTTTACCGATTGAGACGCCAACTCCAGTCGAACCCCCAGCCTGGAGGACCAGGAGACTGGACTTCGTCTGACCTCTGCCCATTGACCTTCCAGGCGTGATTAGATCTGTAGCTCAACAAAAGCAATCCTGTGTAGTTTTTTGGATCAGAGGTGCACAAGCCATCACACCACGCCAGAGCGTAGTTAAATGGTGATGTTTATTAATGAGTTATAACAACCAACTTAGACGACTCTGTTCCTTCAAGGTCGTTGAGAGTGACGCCAGCATTGGGCCAATGTCACCACGGTGTCACATCACCGCAGCTTACACCAGTCTATCGAACGCGAATTCATCATGATCGCCAGGGGTGGTAATGGTGGTGCAGTGATTTAGTCCCTGTCACCGACGTGCTTTGGATCCTGTGGTCCGAGCCCCGCCACCGCCACCCGACTTTGGTGGTAGGCAGCTTTGCTGTCAATACCACGCCAGTTCAGTTCAGTTCAGTACCACGCCTAACCTATCGGGGCCTTCTGTGGTTCGCCACTCCAAGTCCCGGGGATTAGGTTACCGGTTTCCACCACTGAACAGCAGGTCCTCGTGACTATGGGGTTTATCCCATCTGCTGTTCATCACACTTAGGTGTGTAACAAAAAAAGTTACAGCGAGGAAACCGTTAAGCATTGGGAAAAAATTATACATTTACCAAATGAAAAACAGATGGATGTGATAAAATCCTAATGTGACAGATGATTTCCCAAGTCATTAATGATATTTGCTCGGTTCACTAAGATACGAGCAAAATGAGGGATGATGCTGTTTTGGTATGTGGTGGTACGTACACGAAGAATACTAAATTTGGAACGCGTACTCGGATGAGACAGATTCATTGGGATGAGCATGCAGACAACATATGGCTGACAAATATATCACAAGAAGCAAAATGTTTGCACACAATGAAGTCAAAGAAAACGGTCTTGTAAATGCCACTGCTACGGAAAAGAAGTTTAAGAGATCTGGAAAAGAGAATAGTATTTCTCCTTTAGACCGGAAAATGAATACTGGTGTGGAAGAATGCAGGCTGCCGCAAATTTAAGAAC